CACCTATAATGCATAGAGCAGTTTAGCCCCGTCTGTTCATTAAACTTATGCATGCATTGTTACCGCAGGCCGTGTGTAGCACTCTGTAAGTAAGAGTTATTAGAGTAGAAGATGTGGGGAAAATGACTAAATGTTGTGCTGTTTCTGACTATCAGTAAGCAGATGAATCACTAAAGCCTTTCAAAGGATCTGCACTTCGTAAAAGAGCGACAGAAGGTTTTCAGGATTTCAGCCTGAACTTAACAGATTTTTTCAGCCCAGACTGCTTTTAGAAAGTGACACAATACAGGACAGCCTTTCAGACAGAGCTCATGTACATATATGAATCATAATATCACAGAAACAAAAACAGCCTCTTTAGTTAAGGGTTAAAGAGAGAGTAGAACAATTGCCACTTTGAAGTGGTTTGGAACATAAACCCACACACGTCATAAGAGGACTGGGAAAACAATTAAATACAAAAAAAAATGTACACAAAAATATTTTTTTATTTCCTAAAAGGTTCTTGACAAGTTTTCCATCGTAGAGAAGAGCTATTTAATCATGTGGAGAATTTATGCATTCAAATGGAGTTTGAGCTGTTATTGTTGTGAATGTATAACATTGCCTTTACCGAAGACCCGTTGAAGAACCCACTATTCTAAGGGTGTAGGATATAGGCACTTGAGGGCCCATGCAGTGATATTTCTGTGATTAAATGAATTACCAACATTTATGTTTGCACTGAGCTGACAGTGTTGCTTTGCATGTATTTGTAGCCTAATTGGGAAAGTCTCGGTTTACATGCAGCGCAACTCTACATTAGTCTCATTGGCCGCTTTTATGTTTCTGTCTGTCCTTGCTATTTTGCACCTTTTTATCTGTGAGCAGATTTGTAACCACAAAGGGAAATGCCAGCTTGCCCACAAGTGAGCATGTAGTTCACTTTCTCAGACTAGACTCTGACTAACATGGCACATCTGCACGTAGTGTGTGTATTTGATGAATTGAGATACTGGTTTCTCCAACAACATTGCTACAGCCAGAATGTTCTCCTTTGAAATTTTCCTCTTGGGCCAGAAAGTCTCTAGAAACAACATCAGCAAAAAACTGCACGTTAGGAGCTTCACGAAATGGGTTTTTATGGCCGAGCAGCTACACACAAGCCTAAGATGAAAATGCACAATGCCGAGCGTGGGGGCGGAGTAGTGTAACCCACGCCTCCACTGGACTCTGGAGCAGTAGAAACATATTCTGTGGAGTGACGACTCTTCTCTATCTGGCAGTCTGATAGACGGGTCTGGGTTTGGTGAATGCCAGGAGAACGTTACCTGCCTGACCGCATTGTGCCAGCTGTAAAGTTTGGTGGAGGGGGGATGATGCTATGGGTTGTTATTCAGAGGTTGGCCCAAGCTCCTTAGTTCCAGTGAAGGGAAATCTAAACGCTTCAGCAGAACAAGACCTTTTAGACAATTCTATGCTTCCAACATAGTGTGAACAGTTTGGGGAAGGCCCTTTTCTGTTCCAGCATGATTGAGCCCCAGTGCATAAAGCAAGGACCATAAAGGCCTGGCTGGGTGAGTTTAGTGTGGAAGAACTTGACTGGCCCTCACAGAGCCCTGACCTCAACCCCATCAAACAACTTTGGGATGAGCCAGAACAGGGATTCTGGATGAACGGGCAGAAATTCCCACGGACACACTGCAAAATCTTGTAGAAAGCTTCCCAGAAGAGTGGAAGCTGTTATAGCTACAAAGGGAGGACCAACTCCATATTAATGCCTATGGATTTAGAATGGGATGACATAAAAGCTCCTGTGGGTGTAATGTGTAGCTGTCCCAATACGTTTGTCCATATAGTGTATTTCAGTATTTAGAGTGTCCACACTTTGTCTTCATTACAGCTTCAAGTCTTTTCAGGAGACTTGATGTCTGGTCTCTGGGGTGGTCAGTCCATTGTTCTGAGAATATCAGCAGCTTCTTTGATTGATTTTGCATCCTGTTCCTTTTTCTCAGTGAGGGCTTCTTGACAGCTACACATCTTTTCAGACTCATAGTGTTAAGCTGTCTTCTCACAGTGGAGGGATGGACAGAAACACCTCTGAAATTTTTTTTTAGATCTGAAGCAAGAGGGGAAATTGATTTTCTCCTCTCTCTCAAAGATGAAAGCTTTAAGTGCTGTTTACCTGATGTGAACGGTGTTGGTGGTCTACCAGGCCTTACCCTACTGTTAGGAGTCCCCTTGTCTCTGTAGATTTTTAATCATAATTTTTTTAAAGCTTAGTTTTTTTTTATTTTTCTTTATCCTCTTCCTAATGAAAGTGGGTTATCTTATTCTCCTCAGAAATATTTCCTGAAAATGAGCAACTGGTACTATGCCTGGTCCCTATACTTTTTGATATTAAATTAAATATATATATATATATATATATATATATATATATATATATTAATAAATAAGGTAAATGTTTTATATTCACTTAAATATATTTGATGAAATCATGTTTGCTGCTTATGAAATAAAAAAAAAATCAGATTATTAACTTCATTAGAGCAAAGCAGTCTTGCTAGTTTCACTGCATTTATGTTTATTTGTATTTATTATAACATTACTATAGAGTTTTTTTTTACTAGTTAGACGATTGCGTTTTCCTGGCTACCTAACACTTTTGCACAATACTGTATTATACTTTTGTTGTAAAGAATATGGTTATAGAAATTACGTAAACTGTGAATCGTCACCTTTATGGCATTAAGTAATTCTAAGCAGTCGTGAGACAATCTCTAGTAAGACTTTTGCTTTTCTTTCTTTTTTTTTCCACATCCTTTTATTTGTGCTTTCAAACGAGAGGAAGAGGTTAGTTTCCTGCCTACATGTACACGCAAAGACTCCACCGTGGACGCTGATATATATGCAGATTAATTTTGATCTGATAAGCCTCTGTCATATGACATTTCAATGGAACATTTTGTATCAGAAAATTTTACTTTTCTATGATGTAATACAGAGCCTCAACCTCAACCTCAGCCGGATTCAGCTCATTAACTATTCATCAGACCGTCCTTGAACGGGAGCAAGTGTATTAGGCTTTGTTCATACAGTAGGGCAAGTCAGCTGTGTGTCCTAGATTTTTGACTGGGTGTCCACATTGCAAGTCACAGTTGACCAAATCTTGTGTGTGTGCGGTCAGGCTGTAGTTGCATTGGTTGTCGTAATAATGGTGCAGGCTTACACTGACAAAGGTGGGGCAGGAGGAAGTATGATCACACATTCTGACATCAATAAGTGTGAACAATGGTTCATAAAAAGCATGAAATTCAGTCCGACTGATTCTAATTTGAATCAGATTTGAAACCATGTACAAATGTGACTCGGATCGGATTGGAAAGTCACAGTTTACATGGCTTTTTGCTATTTATCCTGCAGAAAATGTTCTGCTATGAGGTTTTGTAACCGTTGTGGCTGTTCCTGTTTAAAGAACAGACTGTCTTCAGCAGGCAGTATAAACTCTCATATGCTTTTCTGTTTTTTTTTGTTTTTTTTTGTTTTTTTTTAAGTACACTTCTTTCAAGATTTACACCTATGATCACTTTTTAATACATGTGCCAGTTAGGGGTGGGCAACATGACAATATGTTATCATTAATGTAATGATAATTAATGAATGAATGAATGAATGAATACAGTGTGTCTGTCTGAGTGCATCATATGTACCAGGACTAAAGGAACACCTTATGGAAGAACGCCATGTGTCAGAGAACAATAAAAGTGGCCTCTGCTGGATTTGATCTACTATCAGAAGCTTTTGTACAAACTTGTGGACTTCATGCCAACTCCAATGCAGCATGGAAGACAGACTAAATACTAAGACGTTCTGAATTTCAAAGATTCTAGTTTCACTCAGACTCTAGTGGTGAAAATGTCATTTGTTATGAAGGTTTTTAAATAACAATTATATATACATTTTAAATGAATGTAAAATAGAAGCGAGTGCAGGGTTTCTCAACCACTGGGCCACGAACCACAAGTGGGCCACGAACCACCTTTTGTTGGTCCTCAGGCCAGTACTGAGGAGGAGCCAGTGGTCCACAGAGGGCCAGTGATGGTACTTTCAGTGAAGAAATTGACTTAATAATAAGAAAAATATAAAATGTTCTCAAACAGTGAACAATATCAGTACAAGTTATGCAACAGTGGAGCTTCATAGACTTTTTGCCCCTTGTCTCCAGAAACAAAATACACTGCCCCGAGGTGTCAGTTGTCGACTCTTGAGTGAAAAATTTAGATTAATTTGCCATCGTTCTGCCTGATTTCAGGTATAAAACAAGCTAATGTTCAACCTTGAGGTGGAAAAGGTTGAGAACCCCTGCACTAGTGTTCTCATTTGGGCCCCACTGTATGTCTAACCATGAGCTAATTGGAATTAAGCCATGTGTGCACAGATCCTCACAGGACATGTAGTGCTCTGTTTGCGTGTAGAAGCTATAGTTTCATGGCTCACATGTGCACTACATAGGGATTTTCATAGCGGCACCGTTGTTTTGGTGTTTAGTGTGTTTGCAAATCTCAGGCAAAACTAAATATGTACATATATGGAATATATACATCTCATGTTGTGAGAATGTAATAAGAATGATGACGGGGTTTTTTGTGCCACATGGCCCAAACTCAGTGTAAAGCTAGTACAGTTCTGTCCCTAGTGCCTGTGAGACAGAGTGCTGATCTAGAACCAGTTTTTCTATTTTAAATCCAAATGAATAATAAAGACAGGTCCTATATAAATACTGTTAGACTAAAAGTTTTTCCCTGGTTGTTTACTTTTAGGGCATTTAGGATGACCGCATGACTTTTGTGACACTGTGTATCTTTTGATACTTCGTCTTTCTCCTAAAAGAGGAAGGAAAAGGGCATGTTTGCTACATACTTTTTTCTGCAACGGGGTGATCAAATAAATTGTGGCAAGGCGTACAGATGTGTTTCACGTTGTAAACATTGTTTTTCATTTGTTTCACCTCTTCACAGGAGGGAGGCCTGCTGAACTGGAACAGATTTTTTCCTGGTCTGAGACACAGAGGTCAAAACCGGCCCCATGTGCAGCCACACCTGCAACAGCCCGCTCAGCCACACCCACCTGACACTCCAGTGGCTGAGGAACAGGTGAGGGACCAGTCGCACACAGTTGCGCTGCAGTAATAAGTAACCACTTCAACGCCTTGTTATTAAAATATCGACCTGAAGCGGTGAAAAAGCCATTTAGTCCATTTTATTTTAAGCTAGGTGAATGCCATGTTAGCTTTAGATATGGTCGCGTGAAAAAGTTTGGGCGCCTCTTGTCAAATGACGTTTTGTTGATTTTCTGAGTGAAAAAAATGTTAATCCTCTACAGAGAGCCCACTTCTGCACGTTCATTGCATAACAAATTATGCACCATACTGAACAAAAATGTGGCCTGTACAAAAGTTATGGCATATTTTATGCCATATTTTTATTTTTTTACGCAGCAAATAAATAGAAATTGGCACTAAAATGTGCAGAATGCCAAATTGGCATATTTAGGTGTGTTCTCTGTTGAGGTTGTGTCACTTATTTTCACTCATAAAATCTACAAAGATGTCATTTGACTGGGGGTGTTCAAACTTTTGCACAGGACTGCGTATGTTACTTAGACTTGGAACATTGGTCTCAAGAAGTCTGCTATATTCGAATATATCGCTGCTGTCGGAACAAAACCTCGTATCTCCTTGTAAACATACTTTACTTTTAATGCAGAAGAATAGAACAAGACTTTTTTCACTTTTTTCCAATTGTGGGTCATTTCTTATGGTCCATTCATCATAAAATGTATATGCAGTGTGAAGAGCGACAGGCATTTTCAAATCATTTCAAAAACTGAAAAATTGAAAAAAATGGAGATGCAAGGTTTTGTTCCGACAACAGCGACATATTCTATATTATAGCCTCATCAACCTTTTTAGAGTCTACTGTTTGTTTACACGACCGCTCTTTGTCTAGGGCCGTTCCACAGTCACTTGTTTATCATCTGGATGGTCTGGGGCTTTATTTTTAACATAAACATTGTGGTTAGATATGAAGTCCCAGACCATCTAGATGATAAACAAGTGACTGTGGATTGGCTATATATATGTGTGTGTGTGTGTGTGTGTGTGTTTTTTATATATATATATAGTATATATATATATATATATATATATATATATATATATATATATATATATATATAAAACATTATGACCACCTCCTTGTTTCTACACTCATTGTCCATTTTATCAGCTCCACTTACTATATAGGTGCACTTTGTAGTTCTACAGTTACAGACTGTAGTCCATCTGTTTCTCTGCATACTTTGTTAGCCCCCTTTTACCCTGTTCTTCAGTTGTCAGGACCCCCATGGACCCTCACAGAGCAGGTACTATTTGGGTGGTGGATCATTCTCAGCACTGCAGTAACACTGACGTGGTGGTGGTGTGTTAGTGTGTGTTGTGCTGGTACGAGTGAATCAGACGCAGCAGTGCTGCTGGAGTTTTTAAACACTGTGTCCACTCACTGTCCACTCTATTAGACACTCCTACTTTGTCAGTCCACCTTGTAGATGTAAAGTCAGAGACGATAGCTCATCTGCTGCTGCACAGTTTGTGTTGGTCATCCTCTAGTCCTTCGTCAGTGGTCACAGGACGCTGCCCACAGGACACTGCTGGCTGGATATTTTTGGTTGGTAGACTATTCTCAGTCCAGCAGTGACAGAGGTGTTTAAAAACTCCAGCAGCACTGCTGTGTCTGATCCACTCAGACCAGCACAACACACACTAACAAACCACCACCGCATCAGTGTCACTGCAGTGCTGAGAATGATCCACCACCCAAATAATACCTGCTCTGTGAGGGTCCATGGGGGTCCTGACCACTGAGGAACAGGGTAAAAGTGGGCTAACAAAGTATGCAGAGAAACAGATGGACTACAGTCTGTAATTGTAGAACTACAAAGTGCACCTATATAGTAAGTGGAGCTGATAAAATGGACAATGAGCGTAGAAACAAGGTCATAATGTTATGCCTGATCAGTTTATAGCTATATTCAGCATTCATGTCAGCATTGAACAGATGTTTAGATTTGATCAGTGTTTTAAACACTGGGCGACTGTGTTGAAATATCTGCATTTTATTCATTTTACTGCATTTGTTGTCCTACTGAAATAAATGTTATATTTCTTGGCAGCATTAATCCAGGTGGATCTAGTCTAACTTTTAACATTTTATAAATGTTTATGTATTGGCATCGTGTTTTTCATTTGCATGTACGTAAATGAAAACAGCAGATATTGGCATTAGTCCAAAGTTCCCATATCTGTATATCCCTAGTTAGAACTGTATAAAATCCATGCTTCTTAAACATTCGCAAGGGGATATTCTAAGCCTCAAAAGTAAACTACATTGTCATGAATCTGTGTGGCGGATTTAACATCTGCAAAACTGTTAGAGTCAGCATTTTCCGATCAGTTTTGTCTATGTAGGCCTACACTTTTAAAAAACAGAGGTCAGCTTAACTCAGAATGATATAGCAACTGATTACATGGCTTTCCTTGAGTTGACACAAGAGTTCACACAACTCAAACTTCTTGATTGAGTCAAAAGTTCCCTTAATTTTTTAGTTCTGCATCTCAATTAAAATGAACTTGTTTTTTTATACTCAACATCCCCACTAGCCAGGGCTCTTTCTATCACACAATCCTGCTAGACATTTTTCCAGTTGGGTACGCACTTATGGAGCTATGGCATCGCTGGGGCTCAAACTCACAACCTCCTGTTGGGCTGACTGCTTAGCCCGCTGCACCACTCAGGAACACACAAAGCAACTCAGATTTTTTGTCTACAAATGTCTAATAATTCATCCCAACACCAGGAGATCATGAGTTTGAATCCCACCAATGCCATAGCTGTCCATATCCGGGAGGTCATCGGGAAAATATGCCAGAGGGGACTGTGTGGTAGAAGGAGCGCCAGCTAGAGGAGAAATTGAGTTTTGTTTATCTAACTGAGATGCAGACATAGAAACAGTAGCTGGGAAAATTTTTGACTCATCTAAGAAGTTTGAGTTGGGTGTCCTCAAGCTGAGTCAACTCAAGAAAAGCCATGTAATCAGTTACTATATCATTATAAGTGGAGCAGACCTCTCATTTTTTACAGTGTACAAAAACATTGAAATATATTTTTAATTCCTTGAAAAGTTGCTTATGCTGATGCAAGTTGGTTGTGACAATAGTCATTATTTCTTCACACATCTAATAGTAGATTATTACAGTACTCTCATGCAGTGCCCATGTAATATAGTGTGATCTGTTCCATTATCACAGTCTGCTGTGTTCATTGCGGAAAGTCATATGTGACGATACAAAAATATGATTATGATCGTGCAGCCCTACTGTTGTCAAAACAAGTTGGACAAAAGTATGTCACATAGCTGAAGACAGCAGTAGCAACCAAATCTTAAAGCCTGAATTTTGTACTATTGTCCCTTTTTTTGTTTAATTAAGTGAAAAACTGTCCTGATTGGCCGTTTTGATGTCTAATCCCTGTCAATCTATTTTTGCCCAGGTGGCTAGACTGATGGAGATGGGTTTCTCCAGGGTGGACGCCCAGGAAGCTCTGAGAGCGTCTAACAACGACATCAACATGGCCACTAACTTTCTGCTTCAGCACTGAGGCCGTTGCTTGAGGGAATAGAGGGAGGAAGGGAGCGGAGCTACATCGACTAGAAAACACGTACAAAAACTCGTACAGAAAAACACGTACAGACACGTGAGGCGGCGGTGCCATGACCACAGTTGTGTGGGGAAGTTTAGGGTGGAAGAAGGGATGAACAGAAGGACTGGACTGGTTTGTAACTCTAAGGAGCCTATGATGTCACTTCCTCTCAGTCTAATTGGACAATGCGGAGCTGCTGGAGTTGCTAAAGCTGCTGTTTCCAGCGTGCTTCCATGCTTTCTCTGTGTGACTTCAGCCAAGAATGGTGCCAAGTTGACGGCGGAGGGTCACACATGGTTATCTCAGGGCTTTCTCTGGCCTCATCTGCTCCTGGTTTCTGCCAGTACTGCAGTACACTCCTTCTCTGTAAGCCCATGTACTGGCGTCTGCCTCATGACAAGTGCAAAGCAATGTGACTGAAGTCTTAAAAGGGAGACATTAGTTTGTCATACCCTGTGTTTGTTTGTGGGGAGTATTTCACAAAGCAGGATTTCTCAGTAAGACAGATAACTTGGCAAAAGTGAGGATAGTCCAGTAGGAATGACCCTTAGCTCTTCTTCTGTTGGACAAGCTTGACTTTTGGTTCAACCTGTAGAAACTAAGAGCTATTTTTGTGTTGCTGTGTTATTTAAATACATGCAAATACATATTATTGCTGTCTTGGAGAAAAAGGTAACTCCACACTAGTAACTTTACAAGGGAAGGCAAAAGTATTCTTTACATTTAATGTAAGTTTATGTGAAGAAATTTTATTCCAAATCATTTGGAACACTTCTGTTGTTCCATTCATCATGAAATTTTACACAGTGTAAGGGGCAGCTGCTGTGTTTAAATATTAGAAAAAATAGAGATGTATGTTTTTTGGGGGGTTTTGGCAGCGATGATATACACTAGATACATATTTTTAATATTATATATAATATATATATATATATATTATATATATATATATATATATATATTGAAAGTACTAAATCACTGTGACTCACTAGATAATTATGTACTTTCAAGTATAATATATATATATATATATATACTTGAAAGTACATAAATAATTATCTAGTGAGTCACAGTGAATTACATTTACATTCATTTTACATTCTATACTGACTGTAAATTGAATATACTGCAATTTCTTCAAATTTAAATCACCTCTTCTACTTATAAACACAAATACGGTATGGATTGAAAGTTTAGACTCTGCACTTTCAATAGGCTTCCAAAGCTAGAGTGGTTATTACAATGAGCTATAAGTGCGAATTAATGTAAAAAGTTTTTGTTATTGACAGTGATAACTGACTTTTAAGGTTTAAATCTGTTTAACTGAGAACTCTTGTTTTGTGAAATACTCTCTTATTTTGGACGTTTGAACAGACGTTGTCCCCTGAAGAGCCTGTTTAGTGAAGGCTTTGACTGGAGGTTTGTGAAACTAACATAACGCATGTAGCTCAAGGCAAAAGCTGTAAGCCTCAACATTTCATTAAGTCTGAAGTGGTAGAAGGGAATTCCACTTATTTCTGCATAATTCAATTGTTGAGATGGAAACAAAGCCATCCAGATGTGAAATTGTTCATTGTGTACAAACCTAGAGACCAGTGGTGGTGATGGGAACCAGGGGTCACAATAACTAAAATGCAAATGTAGCCATTTTATTTACTATCTAAAATGACCTCCACAACCTCCAGAAGAATTGTATACGCAATGTCGATGGTCAAATTGTCATAAATCTGAAAAATGTTTTTGTTACCACTAAAAAAAGACTACCCTTTTAAAGCATTCATGAATGGTTATAAATGAGTTTATTAATGGACCTTAAAATCATTAATAAGCAGTTACAACACACACACATATATATATATATATTTTTTTTTTTCATATATAAATATATATATATCCTTTTTTCATTTTATATATATATATGTGTTATATATATTATATATATATATATATATATATATATATGAAAAAGATATATATATATATATATATATATATATATATATATATATATATATATATATATGAAAAAGATATATATATATATATATATATATATATATATATATATATATATATATATATATATAAAGGGCAACAGTGACCTGTTTGCCTAATAATGAACCTATGTTCATTCATACTGTTGAACCTAAACTGTTTTTCCTGTTTACTGTCTTCTCCATCAGTCAGCATTAAACCTGTCAGCTGCATCACATATTCATATTCATCAGATGTAACAGCTCACTTTGGTCTTTTAATTTAATTAATGTGTTATAACTGCTTATTAAAGATTTTTAAGTGTTTATCATTTAACTAATAACCATTAACAAACTAATCTTAAACTATTCATAAATGCTTTATAAGAGTAGTCTTACTCTAAAGTGGCACCTTGTTTTCTTTGGGGAATTTTTTGCCTTAGAACACCCTGCATGTACCCCTCCACCATGATTGTGTTTAAAAGAATACACTTTAGGTCAAACCCTAAACTCGAAACTATTGTAAAACAGCGTATTCATAATAATTTCGTCTAATAGCTTTCTGTGAGGGAGCTTTTAGTGGCATTAAATATATCGACCGGGTCCTATCGCCACCATTGTGAACAGTTCTGATTCTATAACCTTCTCTAGAACGAAGCATTTCACATCAAACCACTCTGAATGGCATTTGTTAATAATTGTCATTTATTTAACACAGAGACAGAACTGTACTGCCTTTACACTGAGTTTGGACAATGTGACACAAAAAAAAACCCTTCATGATTCAGAAATGTTTGCATCTTTTCCATTTAATTATGCATAAAAATCGGTGGAATTTCCCTTAAAAGTGTCACCCTATAACATTTTCTTAAGAACCTGGCTCAAAACCCACCATGAGCCTTTAGTACTTTGAAAAATAGTGCTTCATCTCCTTTTAACCGTGACACGCCAAAACTGTCTGTGTTCTAACAGCGTGACTGTGTTTCGCAATGACTGAAATGGTACCATGATCTCCATGAAATGGCACTACGACACACGTTAGTCATTGAAATGATGTTCTGGTCATCAGAAGAAAGTGAGTGTGCATTTCTGAGCAGTGTGTATATATGAAGTGTATCTGTAACTGCTTTGTGTTTGTTGTGTGTGCAGTGGGCGCACGTGTGAGAGAGAAAATGACTGATGGTCCCTTTTAGTTTAACAGAGTGTCTTGGGTTCAGATAGCATTGGATAATGATAACGTAAAACACTACCAGTCAAGAGTTTGGACACCTAACCCAGTATGATTTTCATAATCTCAGACATTTTTATTTAAGGTTTTGATGCATAAAGAGCAATGAAAATTATTCTATAATTCAGTTGTTGAGATATAAACAATTTTACTGAGTGGTTCAATGATAAATGCTTCGTTCTAGAGAAACTTATCGGCTCAGCTTTAAAGTGGTGGTAATCCCCTAATGATGGGATCATCTCTTCTCTCTGAAGATTTGAGTCATGCCCCTTGCTCTTCATCATGTCACACATTTAATGCGACAGAACATTATTTATATGGCTAAAAAAGTGACGGAGTGGAAAGCAAAACTTAAGGACAGATACATGATTACATTTTAAGTGATACACTAAAATGAATATTTCCATATTAAATTGGTGTTTACCATTAATATAGAACCAGGTACGTTTGACCATGGCAAATCCGTATTTAATTTAGTAACATTTAAGAGAGAATTTCCATTATCATCTATACAGACTTGTAAAATGCTTGCAGTCTCCAAAAAAATATTTTAAATATTGTGCAATAAAAAGAACAAACATTATGTGAACAATGAAATCATATATTCAATCTTGAAAAGTGCTTATTAGCAATATCTACTATAAGGCTTTGAAAGTGGGACTCTCTTCATGGAATTTGCATATATAAGTACAATAGGTTATTCATGTTTCAGCATTGAGGAGAAAAGCAGGATACAAATTTGACAGAAAATTATGCAGAAGCCTCAACAGCTAAACATAATATTGTTTTATTGTCAGTATTCAGTGTGTCCACTCTTCACCTTTATTACAGCTTCTATTCTTTTCTCGCTTTCGCTTTTTCAAAGAAGTCTGCGGGGAAGTTTTTCACTCCTCTGCAGTTCAGTCTTAGACGTCGGATGCATCTTGCACTTCATGCAATCTAAATAATCTTAAACACATTCAGTGATGTTGAGATTTGGATTTGTCTGTTTTTCTTTTCTCAGTAAGAGCTTCTTGACAGCTACACGTCCTTTTAAACATAGTGTTGAGTGTCGTCTCACAGTGGAAGGATGGACAGAAATACCCGTGGATTTTTTCAGATCTGACTCAAGAGTGGAGCTTAATTTTCTCCTCTCTCTCAAAGATGAAAGCTTTAAGTGCTGTCTATCTGTTTTGTCAGGAGTCTCATTTTCTATACATCGTCTAACTGTTTTAGAAAATCTTTTGTTTTTCACTTATTTATTTTCTATCTTCCTTATGCAAGTGATTTATTGTATATCTAACTCAGAAAAATATCCTGAAAAATTCATGGAAACTTCTCCTTCATCTACTTAATGGTTGTTTTGCCTGAAAATTAAATTAAATGGTTTGCTGTTCTCTGACTTTTGCACAGGACTACATATATGAATTTGAAATGCCCCCCAAAAAGTGGTTTTCTGCAACAACATGGACTCAACATGTGTCTCTTCTTTAGTCCTGTTGGAAAAGCATCTCGGGTGGCTCCTCATAAAGCTGTTTGAGACCGTAATTAATAATGTGTTCTGTGTGCTACATGAAGGCAAAGAGGGGCTGAATTGTAAAATAGCCTAAACAAGAAGACAGTTTGATTTGTTGTTTGGTATCTGCACAGTTCCAGATGTGTTATTTCCTAGTTTCGATGTCTACTAATTGATGTCTTAATTTGTCTACTAAAATGTGGAAAATACTTCTGTCAGTAGGTGCATCCAAACTTTTGACTGGTACCATAAAATTAATTGACTTTATAATTTTCAAGACTGAAAAAAAGTTATGATTCACATGACTGATGTTCGATTGTACTTTCACTCATCAATGAACTCTGCCATTAAAAAAACGTTAATTTATTTTGAAATCGTGCCATTGATTTGGTTTCTTTATTCTAGCTGATATGTCAGTGTGTTTTGCTTTTGATTGTGTTTAAAGTTAAAACAGAACATGATTAATGTGATGTTCACAATAACAGGAGATCTTGGGTAGAAGTTAGACTGTCTAACCCAATCCTGTCCCACTGTACAGTGTTACATAGTCACTGTCTCTGTCAATTCTCTGTTAAATACTATTTAAAAATAGATTATTTTGACTTGCTGGACATTTCAGGATGGTCTGTTATTCACATGAAACCACTCTGAATGACTTTGTTTACATCTTAATAATGCAGAATCTCTCTTGAAAAAATATTCCTGCGTTGCTCGCCTGGGCCACTGGCAGTGAGTAAGCTGCTCTAATGATCCATTAAAACTCAGCCTGCCTCTCATTCATCACGCCTGTAAATACTCATTACTTTTAAGGGCAAGACATTTTCTAGCACTGCTGTTCTCAAATGAAGCACAGCCTTAGCTAATGAGATGTCACTCAATAAACACTCCGATAAAATATAACAGGAGATATTACTGCATAAGCAAACGAAAATATAATAATAATAATAATAATAATAATATCTTTATTTCTACAGCACTGTTCATACCAGTGGCAGCACAAAGTGCTTTACAGGCAGGTGATAATGTTTTACAGTATTAGACAAGACAATGACAGATCTGGTTAAAAAGAAATACCAAAGAGACAGAATTGTAATTGAAAGCTGAGTTAAAGAGATTTCAAAACATTTTCAAATGTTTTTTTAAAAGTGAGCACTGAGCTTGACTTCTCTAATAAAAGGTGGAATTGAGTTCC